AAACAACTGTGGTAAGCAGTGAGTGGTGGGTAGTCTAAACCTCAGTACATTACCGTATTTATCCGGCTAAGAGCCCATGCCCGGACAAACGCCCACCTCCCACTTTTGATAAAATAAAGGAGTTGAGGTCATATCCTAGCAAATGCCCAGGGGTGTTTTTTCTACACCTGTAATAAAATAAAAAAACAAAAACCTATTTTTGTTCGTTGTATTAACAGTTTACTTCTTTGCAGTTTGTTTTGATTCTGATAACAAAATTTGAAAAATAAATGTCAATTGCGATAAACTAGGAGAGAACCAAAATAACTGTGACGTAAATAGAGCAGCGCATTCACCACTATTTACGTAGTTAGCGTCGTTGACAATGAAACCAATGTTGCAATATTGAAGCAACCAGTACCAGGGAGAGTGGTTTAAAGCACGTTGTTTTGGCTTTATAAAATATTTGCGAATCCATAACTGGGGCCAGCAATTTTGCAATGTCAGACTGCCAACTTTTTAACCATCTTTCACCACAGCTATTGCATTTCATGGAAATTATTCTTCTGTTGTTGGGAAAAAAAATCTTCCTATTTCAAGGCCACCGCGATATCCATATAACTTGCTGAATGGTAACTTTCACCATGATTGATGAACGCCTAGTCTTTTCTAACAAATATGAACTTTCGTAATTTTACTGCGTAAATTATTATTGATCTTGTATGGCCGTTGATCTGGTAATTGTCGAAACCGGAAATAATTCACGCGTATGGGGCGGCGTGTTTGTCAATGGGGATATTCTAATTCAAATGAATCTTCACTGTCGATTTTTATTATTTCTGGTTTTAATTTTTGTCACATTCTAAGCAATCAATTATTTCTTGTTACACTTCTAATGCTGCATATTGTTCATTTAATGTTGTTGCATGTTTTTATTTGCCGTTTTTCTCCCTGTCGCAGTTCGATCTGCGTGTTGCCAATTTTCGCGATTTTTCTTTTTTTGCCGGGGATATCCGGACAAACACCCACCCCTTCTTTTTGGCGATTTTCCATGTTCAGGACCCTGGGCTTATACCCGGATAAATACGGTAAAATCATTATAAATATTTATATATATCAATAGTGGTTGAAACTATACCTGCCAATCAACATGCACAATGCGCAATGATATTATTTGAAAATTTTACAATAATGAAATTTTCTAAATAATTGACATTGATAAAATAGTGCCAATAAATTATTTAGTGTATTTGGTCTGACTGGTAAAGACAGTTCAACCACTTTCATTCACACCTACGCATGACTTGAAATTCACTGATGCATGGAAGCAATTGCCGCGATGCCACACATGAGTGCCTCAATCCCCTTCAGTACTTTCTTAAAGGGGCACTTCCAGTTAAGCCTAATCACACAAAAAATTTACTTTCTGGATTAAAATTACAATGGATAACAAAAGATAGATTAACTTTGTAAACAACACAAACAATAGTGTCCAATGATTCTTTGGTGCAATCCCTGGGCTTGGAAGGTTCCCCTTTAACAATTTCAGTCAGTTCAAGGCATTTTTAGAAAGTTTGGCCTTGAAATTAGATGCTCTTAGAATACTGAAGTTCAAGCCCTGCTCATGGTTAAACATTTTTTTTTGTCTTTGATGCATATTGGTAAGCAATGAAATGATGTCCTTACCATTGTTTCACTGGTAAATTATGCGTGATTTCCATCCAGTGTCGCTGCGCTTCAAATCCCCAAACATCGGTGGTGTACCTGCACCTACAATGTAAAAACAATCACGCGTTAATGACATTTCTCAATCCTGTATTAAAGGGTGGTAGTCGTCGCGCCACACATGCACGAGATATATGGGTCTCATATAAACAAAGACGGCAACTTTGACTGTTGCACAGATCAACGAGTACGAACTGACACGTTTCCAAGCTTTAATTAGGTAATTTTCATGTGATTGGAAGGTATCAAAGGAGTCACTGGTGGTATTCAGTGTAAGTGGCGCCCAGGTCAAACCTCATACTTGTGATTTCCATTTGAAGAGTGCATTGAATTGTGGGAAAATCAATGTTTATCAACACAAATGTTGCAAATGCACAACGGGACGACTACCGCTTTTTAAGCAATTGTTTTATTTTACACATGTTGTACATGCAGCATTGGATCCATATGGAACATGACACAACATCACATGACAACTGTGATAATCTAGCAACCACATATGGGACTACTGAATATGAATTATGGGAAATATTTGATGATTCACTGGGATGAAGAGGGGAATCTTTGTGAATCTATTGAACAATATTCAAAAGTGTTAAATTTAATTCAAGCAATATAACAGTCAAATGAAAATCTCTCTTTGCAAATATTCAGATATGCTTGAATAACAATTAAATTTTTATTCATATATTCAACAGTTCATACAAATTAAGTTCATAATTCTTTTCTACAAGACAAATTTTATTATCTATTATGTGTATTATTGTATTTCATTTACTAGTATACATGTGTAGACTGTGTCATTAGTTCATATGGTATGACTAAGTAAAATTATGTTGTTCGTCCCACAGTAATGTTCCAGTCAATGTCATCCCCATCCACAATCCTGACTGGTGGATAAATTTGAAATAATTTTAATAAGAAAAATAATGAGTTTATTGCATCTTTAAAAATAGTTTCCATTGGTTGACAGCAATAACATGTTATTGTTAGTAATAAAGTACAATACATATACAGGTAATACTAAAGTAAAATGTCAGTTATTATTTCTGATTTCAAATATTTTGTACAAGTATTCCCCAACTTATCTTATTATTATTATTATGTCTTCTCTTGAACTCATAATATATATAAATATCTGGTCATCACTTTTTAATTCTTCTGGAGTATTGATATTATTAAATAACTTTTGTCTTTCTCTTTGGTACCTAAGACATTCCATAACGAAATGTTCTTCATTTTCAATTTTGATCTGGGATCCTGTTTCTAAAGGTGTTTTAGGTTGGGAATGTCTACCCTTCTCTATTTCTAATACATGACTGCTTATTCTGAAACGAGTCACTATGACTTTGTTTTAGATTACATAAGTGCAAATGGGAGGTGACTGAAAGAGTGTGACTGATACAGTTTTTTTGTCGCTGTGTTTTGCATTTTTATTTTTCTTGAATGCAATTATTTTTCTCTCTTTTTAAAAAAAAAAAGAAGTCTTTCAGCCACCCCCCTGTGATTAATATGGTCAGCCCCTAATTATCACAGAGGCCTGGCGATCTAAGTTGCCCCAAGTCTACTAGTATTCGGAAATCTACCGTATTTGCCTCGTATCGTGCAGGGTGGGGTGGGGTCGGGTCGGGTCGGGTCGGCGATGACATAATTTGACTGCAGCTTAAATGCAAATAATTGTACCGTTAACTAACCGTGGTCAGTACATGTACATGTACATGTAATCATGGAGGGGTGCAAAACACCAACACGACATAAATTAATTACACCACGTGGTTACGTACTTACCAGAATACGAATTAAGCGAAATCATCCACCTGACAACAACGGCGAAAAGCACCGTGAAACTCATCATCAAGAATTGGTTATCCATGTTGAAAGAAACAATGAAATAAACTCCCACGAAAGATGCACCTATTACCTACGACCTCGCATCGGTGTGCCACATACAAAACGTGCGTAGAGGTCACCGCGCATGCCCGATATGATCGAATCAAATACGGTAGATCCCACTGACGTCATCACTCGGGGTTCGCGGTAGTTGTAGTTGCTCATGTGAATTTTCTTTCTGAGTTTAAAATTATCAGTGGTGTTTTCGCACATGGCCAAGGGCAGAAAGTAAAACTTTTCGTACTTGCGCCATCGTACTTTCAATTAGGCTTGCAATGTGAAACAAATTTACACTAAAAGGAAATGACAACGTCTATTTCATTCATTTCGAACATATTGGGTACGTACACATATATACTGTTTCAATATCAGAGAAAACAATATTAAAAATAACCAGCTGCTTTTATTTTTGCTCCCGTATTTGTTAGACTATTAGACTATACTACTAGTATTCTTATTGTGAAAGTGGTCCTTTCACACGTACTTTGAAAATAAATATACAATTTGAAATTGGAAATGTGAGTGGGACTTAAAGTTAGCTTAGGGTTAGTGGAGGTACAAAAGAAACTCTTTCCCAAGTGCCGAACATAACATCCCTCTCAATCGCTTGAGAATTAATATATTTTGAGAATTTGTTTTGAATCTAGACGGCAATCTAGATATCAATATAACCCGATGACCATCCCAGTTATTAGACTTTCTGTCATGACAAAAGCTATATTCCTTGAAAAAAGGATACGCTCGGAGAAGTAAAAAACCGTGTGTGTCAATCGTCGCCGAACTCCGAACACTGGTAGACCAAAAAAACAAACTGTTTGTTTACTAAGATTAGAGTTGGAACATATCTTTCTACCTATGGTATTTCCACTGTGACATTTTTACCACCACCAACATAAAAGACTGTTTGGACCGTACAACCAAATCATAGCTCAGTAACAGGTATTTCACCGAGCAATTGACTATACTACACTTTTAAACATGTTTTCAACACCGATGAATAAAAGGTCAATCAGGTGCTCTACACATTAAATAATCATTTTCTTGCATATCATCCAATCTTGTGTACTTTATAAAAACACAGTTCCTAGAATAAATTCACTGAAATCAAATGTACTGTACTCGTTGCCCTGTATTGGGGAACAGCACACAAGATGCATTACCCATGCAGTCGCTAAACATTTACTAGGCCGCATTGCGGTACCTAGATTAGAATCCCAGCTGTAACCCTAATCACTGGTGACAATACCATACGTCAACAAACAGGACAGTGAATCATACACAAACAAACCAATATTCATTTTCCGGCATTCTCTATATCGTTTTGATTGATTCAGTGTTCGTTATAATTCCCTATTATTCACTCCACTGTTTAACTCACGTATGAATGCCGGACCGTTTATCTCCATGGTCGACCTGATAACGGATTGTACCTGAAACGCCTTGCTATTTTGAATATATCTCATGTTTTCTATCCCCGATGGTCGGTTCTGTTATGCCATTAACGGTAAAGTCAAAAACAAAGCCCATTGTATAGTAGCATATTTCAGAAAGCAAAGAAGGATATATTGCAGAACATAATTCAAAAGCGGTAATGTACAGCAGGTCTTTTTCTCTGACTAGTTTATTTTTTATAGGGAGAAACCCACAACTCTACGATGTGGAGGGACTTGGGACACAACATGGTAACATTGTGGTGTGATACGGGCCATATTGCTTCGACCAATTATAAAATTAACATCCGAGTCTACTCGACATTTACAACAATAATACTCTTCACTGGGCAAAATCGTTGGTATACGGCGGGTACATTAGCGTATTCGCACGCGTATATTCCCGATATTCGAAGATACACGTTGGTCGGCGCACTCGTACATTCAACCACCGTCCCTCAATGAGGGACGGTGACCTAATGCAGAACAATGCTGTCTAACGTATTCCTACGTATACGTAGTATATACGGACACGTGATAAACCACTGCACAGAGTTAATACTGACGCAGATCGACGTATACGTAGCGTACTAGTATACGGTCACGCAATAAACCAGTGCACACATCGGCGTAGATCTACGTATATTTTGCGTATACTCGGCATGCTATTGGCTGATTTTTCAGGAACATTTGCATACAGGTCATATATCTTAGGTCATGCTTCATTTCCGGTTAATCATTCACGTAGTAATTTGGTTCTTGGGCGCCGCACGTGCTTGTAATTTTTTTAGGTACTAGTATTTTGTTTATAAATAAAGTATCGATAATATTACTAGTGTTTGCTACCGCAACACATTTATTTATAAACACAATACAACAACCTAGCAATATCACGAGCTCCTGTTACAGTCATATACATGTAAAGATAAAGAAATGGTTATTGCCACACCCATGGCCATCCCAGTGATCAGACGTTTTTTTTATGAACACAGGACCAGCAACGAGACATTAACCCATTCTTTATCTGTAGGTTACAAGTGACTGTTCTCCCTTGACTTGCATCAGACTAGATCGCATACCACAGGAAATTAAACGTGGGAGGTGATTCACAATGAAATATTTGGCCACTCGATGTTCAACACAAGTAGGATCAGGGCAACGTGAACAGTTCATAATCGGAAATAACGTTTACAGTAGATCTACGGTCAACGATAACACATTGCAACTAATGCAATTTCGTGTTAATTAATATTGAGGAGTTGTTTTTGGGTAATTGCAATTGCAAAGGTGGGAATAAAAGACATACATTTGTAATTCAAGTGATTTAGTATTTATTTGTAAT